GCAGATCGTAAGGGCCTAGACGGGACATACTTGTGTATAAGGGAGGATAGATAGGTGGGAGCAGCATTATGTAGAGATTTGAAAGCAAGAACCAGAATTTTAAATTGAGCTCTATATATTATAGGAAGCCAGTGTAGGGACTGACAGAAGGGTAAGGCATGGGAGGTGCGGGCGGACAGGAAGATGAGCCTCGCCGCCGCATTCATTATGGACTGTAACGGCGCAAGTTGGGAGCATGTAAGACCACTGAGAAGCGGATTACAGTAGTCAAGGTGAGAAAGGACAGTGGAATGGACCAACACCTTAGTCGCATCTGGTGTTAAGTAGGGGCGGATGCGCGCAATGTTTTTGAGATGGAAATGACATGATTTGGCAATAGATTGAACATGAGGCTTGAAGAAGAGGTTGGAGTCAAAGAGAACACCTAGGCAGTGAGCCTGCGTGGTGGAGCTGATGGTAGCACCGTTGACTTGGAGGGAGACAGACACAAGAGTAACAACACTTGAGGGAGGAAAGACCAAAATTTTTGTTTTGGTCAAGTTTAGTTTAAGGAAGTGGGCAGCCATCCAGTTAGAAACAGCAGAGAGGCAGTCAGAGACACTAGTCAAGAGGGACGGGGAGAGATCAGGAGAGGACAGGTAGATTTACGTGTCATCTGCATAGAAATGATATTGGAAGCCAAAGGAGCTAATGAGTTTACCAAGGGAGGCAGTATAGATGGAGAACAGTAGGGGACCAAGGACTGAATTTTGGAGGTTATTGTTGTTGCTCTACATTATTTATAAAGCGGTAGCACATTCCGTAGCGCTGTACGTGGGTACAATTGGTACACGTAAAAAGACAAAGGTATAATATATCTGAGACAATACATTTGTCAAACAAATACAGGGTGAGTTTAGGCCCCCATTCCCATGGGAACTTACAATCGCGGTAATAGCGCACTGTTTAATAGCAGTTCGCCCTCTTAACTGGGTCCCCGCCGATATCGGAGGCACCTATCATACTAGGTGAGGCGCTTTCCATTGTCATTTTAATTGACTGTCAGTTGACACAGAATATACATAATTCAGACACCATGACCACTTCAAATCCCTGAAGTGATCATGGTGCTTTGAGTAACCATTATATGCAATGGCTATATTTTATAGCTAATGTCCATACATTGTTTATTTCCCTGGTAGTGGTTAGGCTGTTTCAGTCACTCACTATTTCCTTTTAGACAAAGACCTTTTGGGGTCGAAACGTTGCTGTTGTGGTTCCTAATAAAGTACCTGTCTTGAGTGCCTGGACCTCTATTACTTTACTCACTATTTCCTATTGACTGCGATGGGAAATTGGTTGAATGGAAAACTAAGGGTTTGCACATCCCATGCATTACAACCAAATACTTCTCTGCTATGTATTTGTTCCTATAAGTTTTACCCGGACAGGTCAACCTGGAGCTGATTCATGGCCGTTAAAAGTATTTCTATAGCTATATGCATCAGGCTGCAAACGGGTTAGAAGCGAGAACCTTGGGCGCCCGGTAAGTAGGCCTCCATAGGCTTTACTACTGTAGTACAGAGCTTAAGGCCTGAGTGTAAGATATGACAACTTAAGAGAGTGGTTAATGGGTTCGCAACCACCACTGTGTAGGTTGCAATATTTGTGGGAGATATGAGTGGCTTATCCAAAGAGTAAGAAGCTCCATATCCCAGGAGCTTAACGGAGGAGGGAGAAGGAATTGAAGAACACTTCAAGGGTTAATTAGGTGAGACCCATATAGGGTGGTGAAGAGGCCATCGGGACCAGTAGAAGCATTAGATGACATCTTTGGGTGTCAGGGTGTTGGTATTAGGCCTTCTCAGGATTCTGTGGAGTCCATCTAAAGATAGTCCCTTCGCCTGTTTAGGTGGTAGGGTAGCTTAGAACAGCCTCCGTATAAATTGTGGTAGTTCCGCTGAGTCAATGGTGTCAGGTATCTCCTGCACCTTCAGGTTACATTGTCGCACGTTATCCTCTAGCTGCCCGAGTTTGGCACTGAGCTGCGCACCGTGTTGGTAACCTCCAGTAGTTTCGCTGCTGTTGAACCTTGTGTGATCCTTATATCATGGATGTCTTCCTCTGTGGCTTTGATGCAACTTGTCAGCGTGCCCAAGACTCCGAGGCGAAGAAGGCTTTGAGGTTAGTCACCATGGAGGTAAGATTTGTTTTGGAAGCCAGTGGAGGTTCGGGTCTTGGTTGTACCCTGCTCCTGCGGCGAGGGGATGGTGCTTCCATATGCTCTCAATATGCCCTCTGCATTTTCCCATGTTGTCCTGGTGCCCTGTAAGCTGTTTGCAAGAGCCCAGGTGTGCGTAAAATCGGCTTTACAGCGATGTTCAGCAGGAGCTGAGGCGACATGCATCTAGTCTGATCTCGATGGATACTTATTTTAATTGGAAAACATGCGGGTGATTGCGGGATTTGGCACTTTCAAAATTATTTACTTTTACTGGGAAAGGTGAAAGTCCCGCTCATGTGCACATGTCTATACTGGCATTGGGTGTGAGGGTTTAATTTTATTGGGCAACTGGCATTAACAACAGAATGAAGATGGTGAATGTGGTTAAGCATATTTTAGCACTCTTATATAATATGGACACATATCGTTAAAAATACACTGTAAGGACTGTAACTGCTTGATATAATTGAAGTGGTGATAGTGCATGGAGACCCCTAGTGATGTCTTTCCATTCAATATTGAACTATTTTTGATGTTTTAATGCTAAATGCGAGTCTGCAGATACCGATCCCATCTGTGCTTCTCAGCCCGAGGAAGCATTAGCCTGAATAGTGCGGCTCCCTTATATACACACTCTATACCCAATACACACACACACTGTGCCCCATATAAACGTACATTGCATCCCCTATACACACATTATACCCCTTTAGACCAACACTACACTTCCCATACAAACACACCCTATACACATAATACATGCACTACACACAAATTCACACTACTCCCCTTGTGAACGTCCACTGCTGCACCTATGCTCACACATTACAGCACCTCTACACATCCCCATTTATATGCAGAAACACACAAACACACACACACACACACACAGTACACCTAAAATAGACGCCTTTAGATACATGCAATTCTACAAGCAGCCGCCAAACACATACAACACCACAAATGCACAACATCCTTTATCAATCATCTCCCATTTTCTCTGGTACCCCATGATTGGGGCTCCAGAGACAAGTCGCTATCAAACACAGCACATGTGTGTCATTAAATTCGCTTGCATTGCACATTAAAATACAGGGCATTTATCCCATCTTATTAATTTAGGAGAGCTCTGCACATGGGTGCCCTGTTTATTAGATATGCAAAGAATCTCTTGTCTGAAGCCTTTACAAACCCTCCGTCAAGGTAAGTGTAAACCAACATAGAGATCTTAAAAGAAGACATAGCTTCAGGAATACAAATATTTATTACTGACGCTATAGCTGTAAAAACATAATTTAGGCTCCCCGCCCTCTCCCTGTTAAAAAATAAATCTATATGTTTAAAAAAATCTATACTTTTTAATAGTATCATGCATGTGTATATATGTAAGTATGTCTATTAGCATATGTGTGTTATATTAATATTTATATGTGCTGTATATATATATATTTATTATAAGCAGAATCTAAAATTATTATAACGCACATGCATTGATATACATGTAAAAAAGGGAGGGGGAAGTGGGGGAGGGGGGGCATAGTGAGGATAATGGCCATGGGGCAGCAAAAAGGGTAAAACTGGCCATGCTCACTTTTAATGCGACTTACTTCATTTTTTTATTTGAGTATGTCACAGAGTAGAAGCTGAACAAATCTCAGCTACAAAATTGACGTGTCTATGTCTTTGAAGAGGACCTAAAACATTAATGGTTTCAAAATTAATACGAGAATGGTGTGGAGATGAGGAAGTAGCTACAGGTAACCTTGTACCCTCCCTTTCTAACCCAAACTAGACTTTCTGTGACTGTCCAATCACGTACTTCCCAAGGCAGTTCAATAAGAAGCTCAATTGGCAAAGCAGGCACTCTTAGCAATTACCTGCCTCCACTGAGCTGAACAAACCAGGAATAACGCTGGATGTCCTAACACTTTCATAAGGATATCCAGCGTGATTCAATGCTTTCCAACGGAGAAGGTCTAATGTGCACATGGTGCTCGGCGGGCATATAGGTTTCCAGATCACTGTGGTGTCGCGGGAGGGGGAGCCAGATCCAGCACTGAAGGACCTCTGCAATCAAATCAGGTAAGTGAAAAATCTTTTTTAAAAACTTTTGTTTACTGCAGGAGGTGCAAAGGCAGAGGGACAATATAGTGTTAGGAGTACAGTTTTGTATTCCAAACACCATAGTGTTCCTTTAAGTGAAATATTCTCTTAATTCCCCTTGCCTTTACCGCAGGGGTGAGGGAAACCTATCCCTGCACTTAGAGAGAGACTAACATTAAAGGGAAGCAATAGTGCGGATATAGTGACCTATAGTGACCTAGTGCGTATGCATGGCCAGCACTTTAGGACAACCCCATAGGAAAGCATTGAAAACCCTTTGAGGTTTTAGCTGACACTGAATGTCCTCATGCAGAGCGTGGAAAACTGAGCATTGGGTGGTGCTTATAATAAAATAATGATATAATTACTTAATTTTCTCTTATTTATGAATGTGAAACACAGGCTTTTTATTTTCTAAAATAGTGCTTACATTTCTTGCTGTTATAAATACAATGGGACAAAAATGTAAAAATATATATTTTATTTTTTTTTAAAATCAGCATTTCTCTTTCAATATCTTGTTCATACATCCTTTAGAAGAAATGATAAAAACTATAAATGAATGCTGCTGTCTAGTGGTTATTCTGGAAACTGCAATCCTATACACACAGGACAGGTTGATTGCTAAGCAGAGACACCTGCTGACGTGAGCTTGGGCTGACATGGCCCATAGGTATAAATTACATAGATTCAGGTAGACCATCATTGCTGCTTGGAGTGTTCCAGACAAAATGCCTCAAATTAAGGTGATATTGCCAATACCACGAAACTGTATCAGTGAAGTCTGGTGGTGTTTTTATTTTTCTGTCTTCCCATTCTCTAAAGCATCATGGAAGAGATTAGGGAGGGGGAGGTAAATGAGAATAGTTTGAGATGCAAATTAGTGTCATGGTATTAATATTGGGGAAATGGCTAGATTCAAATACTGGATTTGTGAGTTTTGGTTGAATGAATAAAACATGGGGTGGGTTTACAGGAGAGACTATCCTGTCTTCTTGTTGTATAAGCACATTTCAAACCAGTCAATCTCAAAGAGTGTGGTGTGGTGATGGGGTTTTTTTTTTCTTAAAATATTTGTTCAGGAAACTTGGCTTATGTTACAGCTTTGAGGGAGAACTGAAATGTGGATATGCTATTACATACTTTATCCTCTAACTGGGTGCCCCTCTTGGCTCCCTGCTAACCCAGTCTAAGCTCTGCCCTTTGCAATTGGCAATCAGTGTAGGAAGCGTATAGAGAAAAGGCCTTAAACAGTAGTTTTTTTTTATTTCTCCTTCCTTATTTGCAATGTTTGCCTTGCATGAACTGGATTTTATAACTTGCTAAATCATTAATGGGTTACTCCAAGCACCTTTTCCCACTTGTGTTTTGAAGTGCTCATGGTGCTTGGAGTATAGATGTGCCGCAGTTTAAAACTCTGAGCGTTCTAGGCTGGCCGGTGTCAATTCTGTGCATTTCTATCTGTTGGCAGAAGACCAATGGTGATATGCACACTCCATGCTGCCCAGGTCCTCCTCAGCCCTTTCTCTGGGATGTTGCTCCAACTGCAGGGAAAACCTGACCTTGGCACTGGAATGCAGTTATTTTCCCTCTATATAGTGAATTTCACTGTACCAGTGTGTGTGTGTATATAGCTGAGAAAATGGTTACTGCAATACCCAGAGAAAAGCTAAAATACAAACTTTTACTGTTGTGCTTCTGATGCCTCTCTGCAGCTCAAAACAAGGTAAAGTGATCCACAAAAATAGAAAGAAAAAAAAAAAAAAGGGCAGCACAAACAATTGCAAATGTGCACACAGTGCCACAAAAATGTATTTTTAAGAACATAAGGTACAAACATTTCAGGTTATAAGATTTACTGCCTTATTAAAAGTAACTTTTTTAACCCTTTAATATATAGTTTAAAAGAAAACTAAACATTTCATGGGAGAAGAAAAGGCTAACACAAGTTCATTTAGGAAACTCCTCTTAACATGTACAAAAGTATATAACCTATATATTTCAGACTGCGATGAAGAAGCAATCTTCAAAAGATCTCCCTTCAGAGAAAGGCAGCAGGTTCTCGCTCAGAGTTGCTTTAAAAAAACCACCCATATATTCTGAGAGCAGTGAGGAGGATGCAGAAGAAAATGGTAGCTGCTCGTCTCCTGAGACCGCAATCCCACCACCAGTCCAAAAGACTCCTTCAGACTCTGAGGACGAACAGCCAAATGAATTCCTACAAAGAAGGGCAAAAAACATTCAGGATAATAAAGCCATGGTTTGTCACTGGTACAAAAAACTGATGTGGGGGACTGTAACAGGAGGGACACTTCTAATCTGACTTTCATGTTCCACAGCTTGCAAAACTTATGGCAGATCTGGAGAAACTTCCAGGAAACCTCCTGACAGACCCTGGAGAGCAGAGCAGTGGTACTCCAGTGAGTACATTACATGCAAGTGCCACGTACTGGGTGTGTGTGTGCGCTATAGCTATCTTCTCCTTGTCAATCTTTAGATGTGATGGTTTCAGGATCCCTGGTGTAGGGCCCAAAAACGTTAAACCGTGTCCTGGGTATTGCATAAACTGGCACGTCATAAAAATCCTTCATAAAGACTAGAACACTCTTATTTGTGATAAATGTTGGAACACTTATAACAAACTATTCTGACCATCTTGCACAATTTTCTTCTCTTTACCTTCCTTGTAGAGGTCCAGAAGGTTCCCTCGTTCTAAAACTCCTCAGGAGCTGCTGAGACGGAACCCTGAGCGAGCCAGCCGGCGCTTAACTCGTTCCATGGGTGGTGTGCAGCCACGATCTCCAGAGAAAGAAAGGAAAAGGGAATTGATGGACAGGCTGCGGGATGATCTGTTGGATGAGGAAGTGAGTAACAGGCATTCATCCTTGTAGGACTGCAAATACATGATCCACAACTGACTCTCTCTGCAAGAGTTTTACATGGCATCACATTCCAGATTTCCATGAAAATTCTGAAAATGTTATGGGTTTATATATGGGATTAAATTGTACCATAATTGTTGTGGGTATTAAAAGAATGTTGGGGTTTGGCCATGATGCAAAAACTAAAGGGACCTGCATCACTTGACACGTTTTTACATCAGCAATGAAACAAAATAAACATGCCAATAAAACGAAGAAAATTTTAAATGTATGTAGTCTATAAACTTAGACTGACTGCAATTTTTGGACTTGTTTCTAAGCTAGGGGAATATCTTCAGCTCCCCTCCCTCTTCTAACTCAAACCCCACTTCATTTCATACCAGTGTACCAATGACTGAAACAGGGCATCATTGTGCAATGTCAGGAGAGAACTAACACTGGAGCCTGCTCTGAATGATCACACTCCAAATAAGTGTCTAGCTTTTATAAAGCAAAGTGTTAAGCAGTACTGGTAAAAAAAATAAATAAAATTGGCTTAATGTGTAGGAATTTAAGATTAGTTTTGGATGCAATTTGACAACTGTTAACAGATCTGATGTAGATTTCTAGTAATCAGCGCTTTAAACAAAGAATGTTCACGCATAGAAACATTTTAAAATTGTATAAGAGGAATTCTGATTTTCTTTTATCGAAGTCCTGTCTTGCTCAGGAACTCTGTACCACTGACTCACAGTAACAAGGCAGAACAATCTCCTTTCTCCTTTCTCCTTCCTCCATTAGGAATCTACTCCACAAAGACGTCGCTCTTCTCGTCCAAGTGCCTTAACAATTCCTCATGTGGTGCGTCCAGTTGAGGAAATAACAGAGGATGACCTCAAAAAAGTAGCAGACTCTGTGAAAGAGAAGGTTTACCACAGTGTTCATGTAAGAGAAATGTCAATATTTTATTTGGGTTAAAGGGGAAAATAGTCACATGTGAGCCCAAACTTTTAGGAAATACAGAACTTCAATACTAGGGATGATGGAAATACTTGGTTAGAAAAGAGAACTGGTGATCTCCACCATGTGTCCTCACAGATCTAAATCCCATACCTCTCCTCACACAACCAATGGTCAAGGGTTTCCGAGATCACTGCACTGGGACAGAACTGAATAATTTAACACTGAGTAGTGTGCTTTGGGACAATGTCCAGTTACAGCAGTTTCAGAACCAAAGTGTGCTCTAGACTTGGTTCTGGGGTGAAATGGGTATAAATGTCTGCACTGGACTAGAATAAAACAAAACAAAATCCTGCTTGACGTCACCCACACCTGACTCGAAAGTCAAAAGCTGCCACCACCAATACAATTTATTAAATGGAGTACTGGTTCACCAAATAAAGTAGATCTTAAAACCCATCAGCACTATCAACCATAGTTACATATGCAATCTGAAAAGACTTATTAATCAGTCTCTTCAGGTAATGTGATGCTTTACCAGACAAAATGAGTCGTGCACACATGAAAAAATGACAAACATTAACCATTAAAAAGGTAATAGAAATTTTACTGTTGAGATCTGACTCTCACGGCTCACTATCACTCCATGGACTTTTTACCTGGGTTCCAAGCCGCCCAGAAGGGGTAAAGAGTGGAGGTAAGGCATTACTATAGTAAGTTAATGTTGCCTTCACACCCACTCTTTTTTTTTTTTTTTTTTGTCAGCGCAAACTCCAACTTAAAAAAATACATTATATGGGGCGGATAAGTAGTTGTGGGAGGGGGTAGGCAGGAGCTCTAAAGGGGAATATGGGTTCAGGTGTTAGGTGCTGTTTTGGGGAGACATGAGCTCTAGTTGGAGGGAGAGAGGCAGTAACTAACACTCCCTCCCCTTCCCTAGCTTTTCTGCAATTGGTGAGGGATCTTTATGCCTGGTGGTCCAGTGGGAGAAACACTGAAGGCTCTCGCGAGCTCCGATGTTAAGAACGTTGCCTTGGTAAACTGGAGCTCACAGAAGCCATGCTGGGCCAGACCCTTTCTAGGCTTTAACATGGGTGCAGCAGCCATTTTTAGCAAACAAGAACATGGTTTGCACCTGCAGAGGGGCCTCAAAACTCTATGGCATACTAGTGTCCCTCGTGTGGTTTACTCTCCCTGGTCACTCTGCCCCAGGGCACAAGGAACAGCTGCTGTGGGCCCAGTAAGTTTTGTGGCACAGGGCAATTGCTCAATTTGCCATGCAGTAAAGATAGCCCTGATCACCAGGGCAAATTTGCAGTATCCTCAATAGAACTCCTATTATGTACTCATGCATGCGCAACACTGACCTCTGCTCCTGGCATCCAAAGTCCCAAGCGTTGAGCAGAAGGATTGCAGTGCTGGCAAGGGACAGGTTCAAGTAAATAAACTCTCCTTCTCCTGCACTGCCAGTGCAGCAATCGCAATCAAGTGTCTTTGCAAATAATGCAAGGACATCAGACACGAACAGAGCTGTGTGGTGTTTTTTCATTGTTGGTTTTTGTTATGTAGATTTTTAGCTTTACAGACAAAAAGAACCTTGTTGATATGGTTTTGTGTAATTTCCAGGGTTCCACTTGCCACCAATGCCGCCAGAAGACTGTAGACACTAAGTCAAACTGTAGGAATGTAGAGTGTCAAGGGATCCGGGGTCAGTTCTGTGGGCCCTGCCTGAGAAACCGATATGGAGAAGATGTGAGAAAAGTGCTTCTTGATCCTGTGAGTAAAATGTTTATACATCATCTGACTCTATTCCAGTACTTTCATGGCTTCTCATCTATATATCTAACTTTTAATTTTTACAAAATCCCTTTGTATATGAACTGAAGACCACTATAGTGCCTTGAGGGTGCCCCCACCCTCAGGGACCCCCTCCCTCCCGGCTCTGGGGAGAGGAAAGGGGTTAAAACTTATATCTTTCCAGCGCTGGGCGGGGAGCTCTTCTCCTCCGGTCCTCCTCCTCCTCTCCTCCCATTTGGCTGAATGCGCACGCGCAGCAAGAGCTGCGCGCACATTCAGCCGGTCTCATAGGAAAGCATTTACAATGCTTTCCTATAGACGCTGGCGTCTTATCACTGTGATTTTCAGTGAGAATCATGCAAACGTCTCTAGTGGCTGTCAATGAGACAGCCACTAGAGGCTTTGAGGGCTGGATTAACCCATTTACAAACATAGCAGTTTCTCTGAAACTGCTCTATTTATAAAAAAAAAAATAGGTTAACCCTAGCTGGACCTGGCACCCAGACCACTTCATTAAGCTGAAGTGGTCTGGGTGCCTAGAGTGGTCCTTGAAGTATTGTGCATCCTATACATTTTACAACACTGGTTGTTTTCACACTTCTCCATAATGGGTGAGAATCTGGGATTGCAGCAGACATGGGGTGGGAAACCTTTGGCCCTCCAGATGTTGGCCTAGATCTCAATTGATTTGCTAGCATTATGGCTGTAAGAGCATCAAGGGAGATTTAGTCCAAAACATCTGGAGGGTCAAAGGTTCCCCACTCCTGCAGTAAACAAGGTAGCGCAAATAATTCAGCACCTGGTAACACTAGATTAACAAAGTGAATGTTCTAGTATCTAATCTGGAGGATGGTATAAGGCATGGGGAAAATATTCGGCTCAGTTTGGCCTTCGGAACTCCGGCATTTCGGGACTTCTCTTGCAGCCGCTTGGTAGATAACTCCCTAATTCCCACAGTATTAGGGAGTTATCTACCAAAAGGTTGAAAGACCTAAATTGGTCTTTCAGCCAAATTAACTTTTACGAAGTTAATTACTTAGTGTTAGTAAATTTTGCCCCTACTCGCTATACAGTGAGCACTGTTTAAAAAAAAAAACTCTTGCCCCCACTCCTGAGCGGTGGGTGCCCTAAATACAAATTTAGCGCACACCCTCCGGTGACTAGGGGTCCCCAAAGCCCTAGTCACCCCCTCCACAAAAAATGAAGCCCTACCTACCCCCCTCACCCTAAAAACGAGGGGACTTTTAACTAAGTACCTATAAAAATAAACTTACCATTCAATGTTTTCTTTCTTCTAAAATCTTTTCAGCCCCAAAAAGGCAAATAAATCCATAATAACCGACGCAATTGAAGAAAAACCGAGCGCAAAAAATTCATCTTCACCCATGGCGGGCTCCACGAAGACTGAGCTCTGCAGGGTGGGGGAAGGCTTATAAAGCCTTGCCCCGCACTACGATCTGGCTCAGAGCACTCTGGTGGGTTTAAGCCATCCAATTGGAGTGCCAGGTAAATGAAGACTGACCGGTAAGTCTCTAATTTAGCTGTCACAGCACTGATTGGTGGATTTCAAACCAACCAGAGTGCTCTGTCATTTTACACAGCGTAGGAAAGTTCTTTGGAATTTTCCCACGCTGTGTAATTTGACTCCTAACTCTCTGGTTACTTAATCAACCAATCGGTGTTATGAGTCAAATTACAGCATGGGAAAATTCCAAAGAACTTTCACACGCTGTGTAAAATGACAGAGCACTCTGGTGGAAACCAACCAATCAGTGCTGTGACAGGTAAATGTAGAGACTTACCTGTAGGAAGGAACCGAATGTCCAAAATTCGGCCAAATTGCACATGTCTAGATGGTATCCATTTGTTCTTGGTGTCTGTTCTTCAAAATGCTGTATTGGAGGAAAGTAACCATAGCTTAACACTCTGTGTTTAAACTTTTTTTTTTTAGGACTGGCAGTGTCCTCCATGCCGTGGAATCTGTAACTGCAGCTTCTGTCGCCAGAGAGATGGCAGGAGTGCAACTGGGATCCTCTTCCCATTGGCCCGCTACCATGGGTTCAGTGATGTTCATTCTTACCTGAACAGGTGAGGCTTTCCTGTACTGTAAATAGAACCATGTGCTTATGATGAATATTCCCCTGGGGTGGGGTTTTATGGTAGAACATGCTTAGCCAGTATCACTTGTCTCTTTCCTGGCTGTGAATCTGAAGGCTTTTATCTGCAGATGTCTATACTTCAGTGGCACAGACCTTTGTAGCATTTCCTTTCAAAAAGGTTAATTTAGCATCCTAGGTCAATTTACATGAGCTCTGCACAACCTGTGTCCCCCCAGATGTGTTTAACTACAACTCCCATGATTCATCCCATGGCCATCTCTTCAAAAAATCATGAGTTGTAGTTTAAAAACATCTGGGGGCCGCAGAAAACCTGTAAGCACGAACACAGGGTGGGTTTAGTTAATCTGCAGAATGTATTAACTCCAACAAAGGAAGTCCAGAACCACAATGAAGGTCCCTCTTGCACTATTTGTTGGATTCCAAATATTTTATATTCTCTAGTAATTTCGAGTGAGAAACAATCAGAACAGACGTGAGCTAGGTTTCTCTTCATGGTGTTCTTAAAACTCTAGTGAAGCTAAAACTGGATGGAGTCTAGATAGGATGTGGCTTATTGACTTCCTTACTCTGTTTTACATAAATATAGCTAACTTGAAATGACTGAACATGAACGATAACTATTTGGGCAGAGCATTTGCTAAAACTGTAAGCAGAGGCAAGTGCGATCTTAAAAGATTAAAAATCTCTTAAAGGGACACTGTAGTCACTATAAGCATTTCATCTCTTTGAATTGGTTATAGTGCCTGGAGTGGCCTGGCACTGTCCCTCCATTCAGTGTTGCACCATGTTTGTGCAGTATGCCACAAAATAAGTCCCAGGCCACCCACAGTCCGGCCCCTTCAGTACGTGTAGCTAAGGCAGAGATTACACACTTCCTTGTTGTCATACCCATTCATACCGTCAGTTGGAACTCTGACAGGCTTAAAGCAGTCAGCTGACACTCTCAGCCAATCACAGCTGCCTATTGCTGCTCACGGTAATACTTCCTTATTAGCCAAAGCAGCACAGAGGGGATGGATTGCCGGGGACTTTTGTTTAGCATTAAAAGTTTAAAAACTGTTTTAATGCTGAAAGAAATGATGGTACCAGAGGACTCCAGACACTATAACCAGTTTAATGAGATGAAGCAGATACAGTGCCTATGGTGTCCCTTTAATTTATAAAATGGTAGCCAATGCGAATTTACTGAACAGCCAGTACTGTACTGAACCGCTTGCCAAAAACCTTCATAGCGTGATTTTTAACCGAAGTCTTGAGGTGGAACATGCACAAATAACCATGGTGATTTGTGGGTCGTCTTTGATTTTTGTATCTGGTTTTCTGCTAAACTCAATATTTTTCTCAAACTGTTAATTTTGTCTCTCCAGCTTGAGGCAGTCAAAGGACAAAGAGGAAGATGACGACTAGTTAGTTATTTAAGCTTTATATACCCTTGAGAAAATCCTTTACTACCTGTTCTGATCTTATTGCATGTCTGTCTGATAAATTATAGCTGTATTTATGTATATGGTTTTTAGAAGTGAATAAACTCTAATGGTCATTTTTATCTCTTAAAATCCAGTGTAAATGTGTTTGCATCAGTAAATATATGCTAGTATATATTAATTATAGCAATTATTAATGACATTGAGTGATTAACAATTCTAGAACCATACACTTGCTGTGTGTGTAAACAACGGAGGATAACCCCACACATCCCATAATGACTCCTCAACCCCTGAAACTAAATGTACAAGATCAGGCACACAATACACTCAGAGCCAATGCTGGCCAAACTTAACACTTCTACCTAAATTTTTGGTCCTATTTAGTCTATATCGGAGGTGTTCTCGCAGGAGTTGGATGCTACCAGTGCATGTATAGGATTAAAGGACCACTATAGGCACCCAGACCACTTCAGCTTAATGAAGTGGTCTGGGTGCCAGGTCCAGCTAGGGTTAGGTTTTTTTTCTATAAATATAGCCGTTTCAGAGAAACTGCTATGTTTATATTAGGGTTAATACAGCCGCTAGAGGCGCTTGCATGCTTCTCACTGAATCAGTGAGAAGACGCTAGCGTCCATAGGAAAGCATTGTGAATGCTTTCCTATGAGACTGGCTGCGCGCGCAGCTCTTGCTGCGCGCGCAGCTCTTGCTGCGCATTCAGCCAAAGAGGAGGAGAGCTCCCCGCCGGCGCTGGAGGAAGAGGTAAGTTTAACCCCCTTCCTCTCCATCCAGCCTGGCGGGAGGGGGTCCCTGAGGGTGGGGGCACCCTCTGGGCACTCTAGTGGTCCTTTAACCAAGTACATTATGAAATAAAGGGATACTCTAAGCATCAGAACAACTTTAGCTTAACTCCTTCTTGATGAAGGTTTTGCTAGGCTGTCCTACTAAGAGTGCTATAATGCCATGCAAGCTAGCATGCCCTAATATCCAGCCCAGGGCTACTTGCCTTCCACAGTGAACTGTCGGGCAGATCCCCAATATATAATTGGTAAAAATGTGTGTTAAAATAAACGAGTATGCACTTAGACTGAAACTGTGTATACACCCAAACATTAAGCTCATAAAACTTTATTTGCAATCCCTATATTTGACCCTGTAACTTTTCATGGGCGTACTGTTGTGCCCATGAACAGGGCCAGTGCAAGGATTTTTGGCACCCCTTCTGATTTTTTTTTTGACTTTTTTTTTTTTTTTTGTACCCTCTAATGTATCTATCCCCTATAATCGTTCCTCTGCTGTCTTTCTCTCCCAGCCCATCTGTCATCCCCAAGCCACTGTCTTTTTCTCTTCTCTGGCCCTTCTGTGTATTTCTCCCCACTCAGGCCCCTCCATGGTCCCATTCATGTCCATAAATGGTGTCTCCTCCCTCTGTCCCTCACTAGTTCCCTATCTGTGCCATGAACTCCTGGTCCATTATTGTTAACGCAATAATGCCATGGTAGTGGATTTGGCAAAGGTTATGGGAAAACTCTGCAATGGTGCTGAGTGTGAAGGACCTGCCTAATAACTGGGATGTATTTAGATGGTTGAGATGTGCAAAAGCTGTGACCTTAATGGTGTGAGCCTACCTGGATGATTTTAAAATCCTTAAGGTTATGCAATAATCTAATAAAATCCACATCCAGATTACATAAAAGGGATGAGAGGGTGCACCCCCTCACCCCATGTGAATTTGGTTAGAATTCAAACCACACAAGTGGACAACGATCTAAGCCTCTGAGAGAAATCCTACAAGTGTGGCCAAGCAACCCTATCAAATGCCTTATGGGCATCAAGACTCAAGCAACCTAGTGCCCTTAATAGCTGGACAAGATTTGGCTGTCACAATGGCTGCTTTAGCTCTACGAATTTCCTGTGTAGAAAGTCTGTTCCCGGACAAAGACCAGCTGTTGGTGATGCAAAATCTCAAGCAGGATAATTTGAAGTCTAGTCACCGCTATGGTAGGGAGAATTTTAAGGTCCTGATTAAAGTGTAATGGGTCTGTGAGTCTACCCGAGCAGTACCCCATCTGGTTCGGGTAGAAGAATAATCTGTGTCTGCATTGGAGATTGGGGGGGGGGAGTGAGTTAACTTCTAACTGGTAGTGAATTGTGCAGTTAGACTGCATGGACATGCTCTATACATCAAAACCACTCCATTAAGCTAAAGTGGTTTTGGTGCTTATAATGAACCATTAAATGCCCAGCTCTTGAATTATTTAAACAGAGCTGTGCAAAAAAATAAATAAAAAAAATTTGAAACTTGATTGACATTGAATCATATAAGTTCTTCTGAAGGGGGTTTAAATTCTGTATTTATAAGTTAGGTTTTCTATTGCTTACTTGACTTGCATGCGTGTCAGACACATGACATGTTATCATTAATCAGGGCATGGGCACATCTATGCACTATTTTTGTGTCCTTTTTGGTCTTCCTGTTTTGATGTTGGAGGGTTGCATTTTGTTTTACTTTGTCCTGCGACGATATTCTTGTCAACTTTAAAGGGACACTATAGGCACACAGACCACTTCATCTCATTGGCAGTGTCCTTAAACCTGTAGCTGGAAACATTTCAGTTTTAGAGAACCATAAAGGAGCGCTATAGTGTACAAATCTGTATTCCAGACACTATAGTGCTGAAGTGTCTGTTCTGATCACATGCTCCTCTGGAGAGTGAAAAGATTTTTACTTTTTTCCCCCCCCCACATACAGTGCTGGTCTTGACGTGACTGACCCGGCCTCACTCCGCCTCCATGGCTAAGATTATCAATTTTGACAAGTTCATCCAATCCTTTCCCATAGGAAAGCATTGAGAGGCTGCTGCGCATTTGCAGCAAAATGCCGCTCAAAGCTGAGAATAAAAGATTGCTGTCTGCTGAGGGGAGCTGGCAGCAGTTGACCATAATTGTGTAAAGAGGGGAGTCAATATATTGATACAGGACTTAGGAGTAGGTGGTTTAGAAGAGTGTGCTGTTACCAGGCTTGTGTGCAATATTGTATAGGTCCCCCACATGCTGCTTAAACAGCTCTGATGTGTTGCGGCATGGACTCCACAAGACCTCTGAACGTGTCCTGTGGTATCTGGCACCAAGACATTAGTAGCAGGTAATGCATGTTGCAAGGTGGGGGCTCCATGAATTGGATTTGTAGTTTCAGCACATTCTGCAGATGCTCAGTTGGATTGAGATCTGGACAATTTGGAGGCCAAGGCTGTGTGTAGCCCTGAATAAAGAGTCTCTACTCCCAGCATTAAGTCTAGGCTAATGTATGGGGGAGGGAACAGCTATACTGCTCTTTTTTGCTATACCTGCTATACTCTCTGGAGGCGAGCTCTAACCATTGGGAGCTGGACCCAGGGCTTGGGTCCAGTGTGGGAAGAGGTGTCAAGACCCCAGCCAAGCTCGGCGGCTAGGGGCTGGAAGTTCTTATGGTGTCCCGGCAAAGTGCTGATGGTACTCAGTGATAACTAGGAAACGTGATCCGCCACAGATTCTTATATCTTTCTATTGTGGTTAGCATTAAGTTTTTCAGCAACTTGAGCTACAGTAGCTATTCTGTTTGATTGGACCAGACAAGCTAGCCTTTGATGCTCTCAATGAGTCTTGGGTGCCCATGACCCTAACCAACTTCACCAGTTCTTCCTTGCACCACTTTTGGTAGGTACTAGCCACTGCATACTGAGTACACCTCAAAAGACTGCGTTTGGAGATGCTTTGACCCAGTCATCTAGCCAGAAGTATTTGGACCTTGTCAAAGTTATTCAGATCTTTTGTATTTGCCCCCCTTTTTTTTTTCCTGCTTACAAAACATGGAACTCCAAAACTAATGGTTTGCTCATTAGCTGCTTTATATATCCTACCCCTTGACAGGTACCATTCAACCCCAAGCATCCTGTTTGAGGGTGAATGCTGCTGAGACCTTCTCCCAGAGACCTTAGACTCTTTTATGTGAACTGAAGAGATCCTTTAGGGTTTTTTTTTTTTTTTTTTATCCAAACCTTAAGATTTTAAGTTTAACATAAGCTTTTGATAAATGTTTTGCCTGACATGCACCTCCTTGATGATTGATTTAGGCTACTGTGGTGGTGTTGGACCTTACCTGCACTGATTTTCAATTTTCTTACAAATTCTTTGAACTGATGAAGGTTTAAAACAAAACACACTAGAATTCTTTTGTAATGTGAACATCTTCAATCTTTTCTCTGCTATCTTCCATTTAAAGTGTAGGACATTATAGCGCTGGAGGTACCTGTAGTAATGAAAAACCAAGTGTGAAGCCAGATACAAGGGCCTAAATTTATTCTACTATAGCAGTTTGGAGAGCATAATGAGAATCCGGCAGCCCTGTCTCCAAATGGAACACTTTTAGAATGTTGGTTTGAAAAATGTCTCATTCTGTCTCTTCTCCATGTTCATAGATTGTAATCCTGGCCTTCATCTCATTTCTGTTAACAAGTAATTGTCATACAAAATAATATTAACTATTCCCATTCTACATATGTAAAGTGCTGCAGAATATGTTTGTGCTATATAAAGAATAATAATAATAACGAGGAGTCGGACGATATCACTATAAGGGCTGCCACAAGGAACCCTAAGACTTCCAATGATCACCAAATCCTGGAAGACCTGTGGTAACACAATTTTGTTCTGGGCCTGTAAAGTTGCTTTATATTGCGGATCAGAATGTGTTTTTTTTTCTTGAATATATTTTGAATGCTAGGACCTTGTTTTAAATAATTTATTAGCTAGCCATATAACTGGAGAATGCTGGTCCACAAAGATAAAGGCAAATGTGGTATTGACTGGCTGATAAATCTTTCTCAAGACATCTATGTAAGGGACAAAGATGGCTTTGAGAACCAAAATAATCTTTGCGAAAATTCTTGGACCTGATGCCAGGATGAAGGGAGACACCAGGACACATCAATAGACTGCTTTTGAGCAGAGTGCAGTGCTCCCAACAAGCAGGGCTCTTCTCCTACCAGACTGGATGACTTGGCCTCAACACTCAGCAGCATAAGTACTTTGCAGGCTTGGAGCAGG